ACCACAACAATATTATTGACGCCAGTAGAGGATAGTGAACAGCAATTATTTCTAAACAAACTTTACATCTTTATCGAATCGAATAAACGAATCGTACACTACATGTAAGTTAAGGTACCTCGATATAACATTCCTGTTGTCGACCATCTCTCCCCACATGCAAGCCTCGCCACCGAGCACACCGGCGGGCAGCGTGTCGTTGCCGGTCGCGTCACGCACTACTCGCCGCGGGTCCACCATGTACAACTGCGACCACTCGTTACCCAGGTAGTCCAGGTACCACGCCGACGAGAAGAGCACACGGTGACCGGCTTCCAGCACCTATGCAAACAAACACTAATATATGACTTTTCTGATTCTTTAAACTCGATATGGCTTTGTTCCTAACAATATTACCTTCACCATTTCATCAACCCACATACTCTTCCAAACTTGCACGAGTGTGTCATTTGTCAAAGGTACATCTTCATCGAACACTTCCTGAAATACACAAAACATATTTTAATTTGTTACGTAAGTTAGTTATTTTTACGACTCTTTGCTGGAAATAAATTTTCTCGTTCTCTTGTATACCTACTTGCCAGACGACGATCTTGGATCCATCAGCGAGCAGTGGTATGGTGTTTTGCATGAAGAGAGCGTGCAGCTCCTCCACCTTTAAGCCGTTTTCTTGTATGTATTCGCGGATCTCTGGGTTCGAACGCCTGTGGACAATTACAAATCATTACTAATGCACCAGGAGATCCACTAAGATCAGATGATGCTCTCACATCATTCACAGCTATAGATCCATTAATGTTATAATTAAACCCCAACTAATTTAGGAATTATACGAGGTACTTCAGTGAGAGTGATTATCTCCGTTTCAAAAATGCTTTCAAAAACGAAACTACTTAATCGCACGAAATGTTTATTTTTTTAAATTACTTTAAAACAGTTAAGGTTTTAATTATATTTTACTGAATATAGTTAATTTTGATTATCTATAAAGTTAGTTTACCAGCAGTCTATCTCAACCTCGTCCCCACCGATGTGTAGATACTTGTCTGGGAACCAGGTCTGCACCTCGTGGAAGAGGTCGCGGATCATTTTGTAGGTGACGTTCCGGGTGGGGTTCATGGGACCAAGACCCACGATCTCGTTCTGGTATTGGGGTACGCATTTCCCCACGATCGCGTATGACCTGTTCGCGAAAGTCTCGTTTTCAATAATTTTCTTATAACTGTAATAATGTATCTTCGAATAGTTTAAAATAAAAATACAATTACCAGGCACGTCAAACTCTGGCAGGACCCTGATGCCGCGCAGCCGAGCGTACTCCACAATTTGTGCAATATTGTCTTTCGTGTACACCATGGAGGAATGATACGCGCCATGCAGGCTGTCACACACATATAAATAAATAAATTTAGTAAATTTGCATTTTAGCTAGATTCTAACTATACTTTATAAGATAAATAAATAAATAAGATAAATGAAAAGGTATTTTGTTAGAAGACAAACTACAAGTAACTTACAAAATAAACAAAGAAAACAACTATTTGACTGCGTATATAATAAGTGTAATTAAGCGAATAAATTTTTTGATAAGAAAACGTTTAGATATTTTATTTTACCCATTCATTAGAAGGAATGCGTTTCTAATTCATTAGTAACTAATCACATTTTTACTTAAACTATCCTTTACAACTTCAATTCAAAAGAAGGAGACAGGTGAAACTATTTAGAGGGAAATTTGACAGAGAAGGTAACTGAAGTACTCGAGAATATTTTGGACAAACCCATTTTTTGTCTAATTCCGAGCTGACGATATCACGGTCGACCGCTAGTTCTGTAGTATATTCTTTACAATACTTTTGTATTTCATAAAGGAGCGTGGGATTTGTAAAAAGGATTAATCACAAATAACGCAAAACAGTGCATTCAGGATGTTACCAATGACTAACCTAAGGTCAGGGAACTTCTCGCTCTGGTATGGGAAGCTCTGGTCATCGACGATGTGCCAGTGGAGGACGTTCATCTTGTTGATGGCCATCGCGTCGAGCGTGAGCAGGATGTTGGCCACCGAGATGTAGTGCCGGCCCGTGTCCAGTAGCAGCCCGCGGTGCGCGTACTCCGGAAAGTCCACTATTGTAGATGTATTTATCCTCAGCTCCTGACATGGAACATGGATACAATAAGACAAGTCTGACAAGACCTTAGAGTAGCCGGAAAAGAAGTTCCCGTTGCAAGGACATCGTCAAATGCGAATAAAAAAATTAAATGTTTTATTTTTAAGTATGTATAAAATTAAAACAAAATTTGATAATGACCTTTTATTCTCTAAATTCTATCGGTAACTTTTACCGTTTTTTACATTTAGACAAGTCATCACTAGTTGTCAGAGTTCAAGTTCAAGTGATGCGCGTAGGTCAAGCAATTCAAAAAATAGCGGTTTTGGTCTTACATTCATGTCATTCGAAAGGTAGAACTTCTGTGCGAATGTCTCGAGGCCGCGGAGAGCGCCCCAAACGGAGGCGCTCGTTAGCACTGACACTTCTGATACCGTCAATGTGTCTGGAAGCAGATCAATCATGTTAAAATTTGACAGTGGTTAAGTCCACTGTATCATCATACTGCGGCAGAAACACCGAATCAACCGGTGCAATACCACGACTACATAGACCAGTATCTGTTTTTTTATATCTCTATTTTGACGAATTAAGCGCTGGACTTAAGACCAGAGCAAATAGAAGCAATATAAAATTGCGACTCATGTAAGCAGCGATGCAACCTTCATTCGCAGTGCACAATAAAATTACTGACATTATGCTTTCATTGTCATCATAATTACTTACCCGAACTTAATATTAAATCATTGAATACGAAAGCGCATAAATATGTCAACAATGGACAACACTAAACAGGAATACGTAAGATGTAGATATTCATATCGTCTAGAAAACAAAGAAAGGAAAAGAGGTAAGTGTGGATTACGATTTTGTATATTTGTGTGTATTACTATAATTGGCAACATATATGAAGCACATAATAATCTTAAATAGCCACTCGATTGAATCTAAAGGCCAATACGCTCACGGTTCATTCACGCGAATCATAATTACTGATTGATATAAAGTATTGTTGATAATGATGTTTATTGGCCTTCAAAATAAACACTATTGTATTTTAAGTGCATTTGTATTTATTTGTTAATTTTATTTTACCGCAAAATGTAAAAGTATTTATAACGATTTATGTAATAATCAACCTGCCCTTGTCCCGAGGCACAATATGTACTACTCTTATACTCTTCCAAACATCCCTATCAGCCGTTATATTTTTATGACGACATCTTCATATGTATAATTAACATTGTACTCGTATATTTGGTATTATTATTGTTGATATTTCACAGCGGTTAGAGGAAAAACACTGTATAAAACATAACTACTGTGACGGATTTTAGTTTAAAATATTTATCGTATATTAATAGTAACAGTCATCTTAACGTGAAAAATATTTTGGCATTGGTTAATAAAACTGTGTTTTGACTGCAGTAACAATTGCGTTACATATTGTTATCCCTGTTTTGTCAAAGAGAATGTAAGGGACGTCGAAATGTAAAAGTTTCAATGCAGTCAAAGTCTGAAGTTATTTAGACAATAATCTAAAATTAATTTTGTTTGTTTCCGTAATCTTGGCGTCACGCCTGAGGCGCACTATCACGCCACAATAAGTACTATCATAAGCCAGTACACTGTCTAGCTACTGCTAGATTTAATAAACAAGACAGGACATTTAATAAACAACAAAGGTAACTTTAATTTTAAAAAAAATCCCCGAGAATAATTGGACATCTTACTATGTTAAATGACCTGCGATGCGAAATGTAGATTCAATAGTTTGTATTACAACTCATTGGAAGTTAAGAGATTGTAATTGGGCCTAATGTACGTGTAAATTACAGATTAGCAGAGTTGGACATTTTACATGTAGTTACAATGTTGAACATAAAAACTTACATTTTTCGTCCATTTCTAAATAAGGATAGTCTTCGCATGGTTCTGTCAGTTCCACTTGTAGCTCCCGCAAGACGCCCCGCGCCAAAGTCTGGACTTCCTCTACATGTCGCTCGCTCCTCGGGGCCGACGTTTGGTCTTGCTGCGGTGCTCTGCTCTTCACGATGTACGAGTATCTTTCGATTGCCGAAGTAAGTATATCGCATGTGTTATTCGTCACCTAGAAACAAATTGGAAATCCTTGAGCGATCGAGGCCCACATTTATATATTTACTTCATTATTTTTATGAACTCTATAAATAAAAATCAATAATTTTAACAAGCTACGTTCTTGTGTAGCATACTTCGTATAAAAGTTGCAATATTTAACAGTTCAACTAATTAAAAAATAATATTTCTTACTTACTTTAACTTTAAAATTAGAAGGGTCAAAGGTGAAGTAAGTAAATTCCGTAACTTCACTTCGGGGTTTCGGCCAAACCTCTCCTTTAGTCGGTGGATACTTGGGTCCGGGGTTAACAACAGACATTGAGTTAACATTTACAGTTAATATCAGAAGTATTGATAAAGAGCGTAACATTTTGATCACAAGAATTGTAACATAAAATTAGTTTCCGGGGAAATGTTCAGTCGTCGCGAGCAGTTACGATCGATATACAAGTGAGACTCTTATGGCTGCGGCTGTTTGAATACATCGCCAGCGGACCATTAGCGAGTTATAAACAAAATAATAAAATAACTACTGATAACATCGATAACCTTTCCGACACGCCCCGTGCTGTATGGATGTAGGAATACAATGTACGTAACTATTACAGTAAATATGGTTTAACAGAAATGCTATTTTTGAATTACAATCCGAAATCAAGTGTAATGTTTTTCTTCTATTTGAAATACATAAATGACGTAATGCTATAAATAACGATATTTACTTTCGTTTTAACTTGGTCTACTAAGGTTTTATTTGAGTCTATGAAATACTGCGCATGTGAACAGCGCAGCTTACAGAGAAAACTCGGCTTACAGTCTAGAGGAGAGTGTCAAATTGTCCAACTCTTGTTTTAATTGATCAACGAATTAGTGGCTGATTGCCAAGAGCATTCAATCCTAACATACCAAACCTCATAGTTATTTTTCGTTTTCAATAGTCGAGAGCGTCGCTGAACCTCAAAACGTCACTTGTATAGACCAAGTCTTACTTAGCCGTTGTAGGTATGATAAGAGGTCATTGCATTATAATTTAGCCCTCTCTTTGTAAAAATCTTACAATTTAGCATGAAAATATATTACTTTTGTGTCTAGCTGTATATGATTATAAATAGATAGGCGGTTGTTTGGAAATAACGGCTTTTGCTTGGTTGTGACTTAATTAAGCTGATGTTAAGTACAGTTAGGTCCACCGCTATTATAAATTTGAAAGCTGTACATCGCGACCAACCACAACTATCAGCGCCAAAATAGCGAAAATCAAATAGACAAATAATACTATAGCCTGTCCATTTGTAGAGGTCAGTGCGGCATATGGCAACAACTATTTAAAAAGTCACGTCAACGTCAACATAATTTGACGTCTTATGCCATTATTTTCATTGATCATTGTAATTGAAAACTTGTGATTGTGAACGATTTGTGAATCTTGAATACTATCCTTGATGATAATGTAAAATTGTTTCGTAGTATATGAAAACTAATTACTTTTTGTCACAGAAATTATCATCGATCGTTCAAATACAAATCAAAATATGAATCAAATATCCTCAATTATTCTTATCATTTGTTCATTTGCTTCTATATCACATGCAGTTAACTCCGTTGAAGAAGATATTAGCAACGGAAGATATGTTATTGAGGGTCGCGTCGTGCCGCCTGAAGAACAGGAACAAAAGAATTGGCAAACACAAACACGGATTCATGTAAACGGCGGAGAGTACATCGGGTTCATCAAAGAAGATGGATCATTTACAATCCACAACGTTCCTACAGGATCTTACGTGGTGGAAGTTGTTAACCCGGACTATATGTACGATCCGGTACGCGTGGAAATAAACTCTAAAGGAAAATATCGCGCTAGAAGAGTGAATTACATTCAGACATCGCAAGTTATCCAAGTGCCTTATCCACTTAGAATGAAAGCCTTGACTCGTTTCAGATATTTCCAAATACGCGAACAATGGAGGTTAACCGACTTCTTGTTCAACCCTATGGTTATTATGATGGTATTACCACTTCTTCTTATCATGGTGTTGCCAAAAATGATGAACGATCCTGAAACTAAAGACGAATTGAAACAGATCACAAATTTGGCCAAGATGTCGGAAATTCCTGAAATGTCTGAAGTATTTACAAACTTGTTCAGTGGGGGCACTACTACGAAATCGTCCACATCCAAAGCTAAGCAAATTAAGAAGCGACAATGATGTTTGTTATAATTGTACTGTAGGTTATAGTAATCCTCTTGTTTTCTAGACATTATGTTCAACATTAAATTATTATCTAATTTATGTGACGTTCATTTAAATCTTTTATACCTATTCCATTCCACTACACAAGTATTTAATCAATTCTGGTGTTTCTTTAGTTGTCGGTAAGTAACCACCACACAGCCCAATAAGTCTCGGAAGCACTGCCTATTTATGGGACAAAAATATATAAAAAATATAACATAACCTTAACAAATCTATACTAATTTTATAAAGAGGACTGATTTGTATTTTTTGTATGTATTGAAATAACTCAAAAACTACTTCACCAATTTCGCAAATTCTTTCACCATTAAAAATCTATGTTATTGGTGAGTACCATAGGCTATGTTTTTATTATTTTTTTAATTTTACGCAAGCGAAGTTGCGGGCAACAGCAATTTCCATGCCACATCAAATACCTATAAAATCCCTGTTAGACAAGGGATTTTTTTTTATAAGACATTTTAATAAAATAAAAAAAACTGCTTATCAACACCACTCTATCTCTCAAAATACCAGTAGAATTACAAATTCATGGCTAGCTTTTCAGCCTAAACTTTAGGCATTAAGGAATAATCCATGGAATTAAAATGAAATAAAAGACAGGATTTACATAAAACAATATTTGCTGTCCAGACAATAAGTACAAGACAAAATATCAAACAAAAATAAAATGGACAAAATATTCAACTTCATTGAAGTGGATACTTCCAAAAACATGTACTAAAATATACTAGAAATGTATAAATCATACAAAATTATCACCTACAGTATCAACTGCTAACATTGACTGCTGTTTCTGTATTAAAAGACAAATATATTAGTACTTGTTCATATTAAATAGTGGGAATGGTTGCGAAATTTCAAACAACGAATATGATATAAGCGAGTGTTCATACTAAAAGAGGGGGGCAATGCGTTAGCGGCGACATATTATGAATATTCGTGGGATCGTTTCGTAACGTCATCGATAAAATTTGTATTCGATGAGTATTTCCCGTTGGGTCGGTCGATCGAGCGAATTAGAAGTCGTATTCCCATTTGACCGATTATGATTTATCTTATTTATGACTTATATGATTATGACTTTAACGTAAACAAGCACCTACGCATAATTTTATTGTCAAGTATGCTATACTGTACAGGCCCAGGATAACGGGAAAGGCACAATTAAAGTTATATTTATTTCATTTTT